TAAGGACATTTCCTTCTATTTCTATATTGCTGAGAGTTTTTATCATGAATCGATGCTGGATGTTTTCAAATGCTTTTTCTGCATTGTTTGATATGCTCATGTCATTTTTCCTTTTCAGTTTTTTAATATGGTGAACTACATTGATTGATTTTTGAATTTGGAGCCAGTCATGCATTTCTAGGATAAACCCCACTTGGTCACGGAGTAGTATTCTATTTATATATTGCTGGATTTGATTTCCTAGTATTTTTTTTTTGAAGATTTTTGTGTACTGTTCATGAGGGACAGTGGTCTATAGTTTTCTCTCCTTGTACTGTCTTTGTCTAGTTTTTTGGTATCAAGGCAATTCTAGCCTCACAAAATGAGTTGGGAAGTGTTCTCTTCCCTTCTATTCTCTGGAAGAGATTGTGTAAAATTGGTGCTATTTGTTCTTTAAAAGTTTGGTAGCACTTTCCTGGTGGCGCAGTGGTTGAGAGTCCGCCTGCCAATGCAGGGGACATGGGTTCGTGCCCCAGTCCGGGAAGATCCCACATGCCGCGGAGCGGCTGGGTCCGTGAGCCATGGCCGCTGAGCCTGCGCGTCCGGAGCCTGTGCTCCGCAACGGAGAGGCCACAGCAGTGAGAGGCCCGCATACCAGAAAAAAAAAAAGTTTGGTAGAATTTACCAGTGAAACCGTTTGGGCCTGGAGGGTTGTTTTTTTTTTTTTTTTAAGGTTTTTACCTATGGATTCCATTTCTTTAATATATATGTTGCCTATTTCTTCTTTGTGTGAGTTTTGGAAGCTTGTGGCTTTTAAGGAATTGGTCCATTTCATCTAAGTTATTGAATTTATGTGCATAGAGATGTTCAGAGCACTACCTTTTAATATCTGTGGGGTCTTTAATGACATTGGTAATTTGTGTCTCTTCTATTTTTTTAAATTTTTAGTATGGCTAAAGTTTATTGATCTCATTGATGTTTTCAGAGAATCAGCTTTTGATTTTATTGATTGTCTTTATTGTTTTTCAGTTCAAGGTCATTTTTTCTGCTCTTTATTATTTCCTTCTTTCTGCTTGCATTTGGTTTGTTTTGCTTTCCTTGGTTTCTTAAGATGGACGCTTAGTTGTTGATTTGAGACCTTTCTTCTTCTCTAAGGTAAGCTATTTTATAATGCTATAAATTTTGCTTTAAGAACTGCTTTAATTCACCCCACAAATTTTTATGTGTCCTGCTTCATTTTTGTCCAGGCAAAAATATTTTCTAAGATACATGTATCCCAATGTTCATTGCAGCACTATTTACAATAGCCAAGACATGGAAGCAACCTAGATGTCTGTCAATAGATGAATGGATAAAGAAGATGTGGTACATATATACAATGGAATATTACTCAGCCATAAAAAAGAATGAAATAATGCCATTTGTAGCAACATGGATGACCTAGAGAGTATCGTACTAAGTAAGCCAGACAACGACATATATCATATGATATCACTTATATGTGGAATCTAAAAAATAAAAATGATAGAAATGAACCTATTTACAAAACAGAAAGAGATTCACAGACATAGAAAAAAAACTTATGGAAAGTGAGGGGAGGGATAAATTAGGAGGTTGGGAGTAACATATACACATTACTATGGATAAAATAGATAACCAACAAGGACTTACTCTATAGCACAGGGAACTATACTCAATATCTTGTAGTAACCTATAAGGGAAGAGAATCTGAGAAAGAATATAGCCCCTAGCCCCCTGAGTCTCTTTCCACTAGACCCCCTTTACTTTAGCTTCTCCTCCAGGAAACCCCAAACCTTCCTTTAATTTAGCTACTAGAGAGTTAATGTCTGACACCACAAGGAGTTTACTGGACTTAGCTCCAGTGCTGTGATTGAAACTATTCTGATTGGTCAAGGCCAGTGCCTACCGGTCATTAAATATTTGGAATATCACCTCTGCCGGTACCTTATGTTTGTACAGCATTTTATAGTTTACAAAAGATATTTACATATATTATCTTAGTTAAGCTTCATGCCGGCTCCGTGACATTAGTATGAATTGTTATTGCCATCATAAAACATTTTAACTATAAAATTAACACATTAAAATATAATAATAATAAATAAATAAAATTAACACATATTAGTGTGGAAAATGAATTATTATTGGGGACTCTCTGCTCAGAAAAATTATCACTTACCCAAGATCACATGGTTATAGGAGTTTGGGTCTAAACTCCTAACAGCTTCAAGAATTGTCATATCTTAAGTGCTCGGTTTAGGGAAGGAAGATTTCACTCTGCACTGGATAGACCTGGGAAGGCAATTCCAGGAGGGAGGCACTGAGCTTGTACTGAGGAGCTAGTGGGATCTGGTTGACAGAGAGGCAGAGCAAGGATATTCTACTCAGGAACAGTGTGAAATGTGGCCCACATGTAGTAAAAGATCCTATTTCCATGATCATTTCAAGACACCTTCTCTGGAGGTGTTGGAACTGAAATTCCCCAATGTTGAGTCACAAAGAGCACCTGAGGCAAAGCTCTCCTCTCCTACCTTGCTTGTTCAATTCTGGAGCCAATGGAGGAGACAGGGAATGGGCATTCTGAAGCTGCTGAAGCCGAATTGTATTTATTGGGTCATTTTTCTCCTTCACACTTGGGTCCCTCCAGATAGAGCAATTGATGAAAAAGAAAGTGAGGAAGTCTGAAGTATTATTCACAGCCCCTCAGCTGCTGTTACCAAGTCCACACAAAGGCTTATCCAAGGAGAGAATGGTGCTCTAGGCCACCATAGTCCTAAAGTTCTTTGGGTGTTTGTGTTCTGTCTGCAATAGCAGTGGGAACCATTTGCTCACATCACACTCCTTAGGTCATTTAACAGCAGCACTGGGCCATTCCTTAAGGTGCTGCCAGGTGGCAAGATGGCAGTGTCAATTTCCAAGATGTCGCTGATGGCGTCCTCAAGGTTGAACTGAACAAGTGTCTCACTCGGGCGCTGGCCAAAGATGACGACTCTGGAGTTGAAGTCTGATTTACACCAACCAGGACGGAAATCATTATCTTGGCCTCCAGGACGCACAGTGTTCTTGGTGAGAAGGGCTGGCGGATCCAGGAATTGACTGCTGTGCTTCAGAAGAGATTTGGCTTCCCTGAGGGCAGTGTAGAGCTTTAGGAGGAAAAGGAATATACGAGAGCTCTGTGCACATCACCCAGGCGGGATCTGCGGTACACACTTCTAGGAGGGCTTGCTGTGGTGTGCTGAAGGTCATCATGGAGAGTGGGGACAAAGGTTGCTAGGTCGTAATGCCTGGGCAACTCCAAGGACAGAGGGTTAAATCCATGAAGTTGTGGATGGCCTGATGACCCACAGTGAGGACCTTGTTAGCTTCTACACAGACACCACTGGCTGCCATGTGCTGCTCAGACAGGGAGTGCTGGGCATCAAAGTGAAGATCATGCTGCCTTGGGACCCAAGTGGAAAGATGGGCCCTTAAGAAGCCCCTGCCTGACCACTGAGCATGGTGGAACCCATAGATGAGACACTGCTCACTGTCACCTTCCCCATCCCCAAACAGAAGGGAGGGAAGCCATAGACGCCTGCCATGCCAGCAAGTACCCACTGCATAACACTGTCTCCTTGGCAGCTGGATTTGGAGTCTGATGTTGCTCTATAAAGACCTTTCATAAAATCTTTTTTTAAAAAAGTAGGGTTGGGGCTTCCCTGGTGGCGCAGTGGTTGAGGGTCTGCCTGCCGATGCAGGGAACACGAGTTCGTGCCCCGGTCCGGGAAGATCCCACATACCGCGGAGCGGCTGGGCCCGTGAGCCATGGCCACTGAGCCTGCGCGTCCAGAGCCTGTGCTTCGCAACGGGAGAGGCCACAGCAGTGAGAGGCCCGCATACCGCAAAAAAAAAAAAAAGTAGGGTTGCATCCAGGTTTCATGGAGCCTGAATCTTATACAATCTGGGGCCTCTTTTTGTTTTTTTTTAATTTATTTATATTTTTGGCTGCACTGTGTCTTCGTTGCTGTTCGCAGGCTTTCTCTAGTTGCAGCGAGCGGGGGCTACTCTTCGTTGTGTTGCGCGGGCTTCTCACTGCAGTGGCTTCTCTTGTTGCAGAGCACAGGTTCTAGGTGCACGGGCTTCAGTAGTTGAGGCACACCACACGGGCTTAGTTGCTCCGCAGCATGTGGGATCTTCCCTGACCAGAATCAAACCCGTGTCCCCTGCATTGGCAGGCGGATTCTTAACCACTGCGCCACCAGGGAAGTCTGGGGCCTCTTTTTTTAAAAAAGAAAACACAATTACAAACAGAAAATCAGCTATAAAACTTTGGAAAGAACTTGTAAGCGAGGGTCCAGAAGCTTTAAGTTCATTAGCGACCCCGTTGCTTAACGTGAATAATAGATCTGAGAAAAAGAAGGGAAATGATTCAATTAAATAGCATAGGATCATTGTTCTCTGTATATTCACCTCTGCTTAACCGTAATTTTTAAAATCTGCTAAAAGAAAGGGAAACTATCCAACTAATGGCACGGGAGTATTGTTTTTGATGGTACCTGTGGCTCCCAGGCTTTTTTTTTTTCTCTCTCTCCAGTACTTTTAAAAAGTTTGATCGAGATATAAGTGACACACAAAAACTGCTCATATTTGAAGTATACAGTCTAAGTTTTGAAATATGTAGACCCCTGCGAAAGAATCACCATAATCAAGGTAATGAATATAGTCATCAGTCTCAAAAGTTTCCTCATGCACCTTTGTAATTCTTCCGTCCAGCCCCTGCTTATACCTCCGCCCCCATTTTTTCATATATTTTAATCTGCTTTTCTAGTTGTTTAAGGCAAAAGGATAAATTTGGACCCTGTTGTTTCATCTTGTCCAGAAGTAGATGCCTCCAGGCTTTTTTAACACAGAGAAACATATAATCAATCCAAACATAAAGAGGTGAAGAGATGCTCCTTTAGGGTGAGTATGGTTTTGAACAGAGGAACTAGAAGACCAGTAAGGTTTTGCACAGAGGATCTACAAGACCAGTAAGAACTCCCCCATCTTAATTAAGGGCAAAAGGGGAGGAGAACACACCTAAGAGGTGTCCAGTCCAGATGGGTCTTTCTTTGCAAACCCACAGATGCACTTTTGAGACGTAATCATCAATGAAGAAATCACGTAAAAGAAGATGACATTTTTTCCCATTCTTGACTTGTCATAAACCCACAATGAAATTAATTTTGGTTTCAATTTATGTGTCTTGGGTATGAGCCACTGTTATGCTGAATGTACTGGTGCCTGAGTGAAGTTTCTATATGAATTCAATAAGTGTTCAATTCTTCAGTGTTCACTGAGCACCTATACGTATACTGGGGATTTGCAGAGACCCTTGCATCCTGCCTCGCCCTCTGCTTAGTCTCTGGCAGGTTTATCATCCAAGGCTGGGCCCAAATGCTCCTTCTAGGGCCACTCAGCCTAGTCATTTTTTCCTTCCAGAGTACTTGCCAACTGTACATTTAGTTCTCGGTGAACACTTTCCTGAATAGCTTGTCTTATTGCTAAATGTTTTTCCAATGTATGTATGAATGAGATCATACACCTCTTAAAGGCAAGTCCATATCCGTACTACTTCTTAGCACCTGTGCCCGCATCACAGAGCCTAACACAATTTGATATATATTTATTTTACTTTAATATCCTTATTATATAATTAACTCTTGTTCATAATGAAAATGTTCATTATGGAAATGTTAGATGATGCAGACAAGCAAAAAGGTTTAAAAATTAACCATAATTCCAATATCAGAGAATAACTGCTGTTGACATTTTGTATAGGGTGTACAACAAATAGGATGTATACAGGACCTAAAGTTTTAATGGAATAAATTGAAAGATACACAACCACAAGTTAGAAGGGGTAAGAGGATGCAGTGACATTTCTTGAGACGCCAGGAAGATGATGTGCTGTTAGTGGCCCAGGGCGGGCAGCATAAATGTGCTTTAGAGACTTGGCAGAGCATGCTGTCCAGAAAATATACTTCTCCCACCAGTTCTTGGAATCCTTGTAGCAGGAATAAAGTCCTTCCACAATAGTGTTAAAACAACTTCAGGAGACATGTGGTCCCTGAACCAGCAACATCAGCATCACCTGGGAACTTGTCAGAAATGCAAATTCTCAAGCCTGATCCTAGACTTAACTGAATCAGAAACTCTGGGGGTTGGGCCCAGCAGTCTGTGTTTTAACAAGCTTTTCAGGTGATCCTGATGCACAATAAAGTTTAAGAACCACCATCTAAGACTGGGAGCTATCTTGTTCATTGTTGAGTTCTCTGTCTCAGCACCTGGTGCCTAGAAGGTCGTGAAAAATCTGCTAAATCAAGAATACAAATATCCATTAAAGATGCATCACTTTTAAAAATTATTTTCATTATGGTATTATTTCTCATCGAAATATGTAAAAGATATAATGAGTACCTAGTATATCCAGCACTATCTATAGCAAATTAAATCTTAACAGTTGGCCACATTTCCTTTAGATATTTTTTTGGAGAACAAAATCATTGCGGATACAACTGAGAGCTTTCTGTGTGTCCTCTTCCCAATCTCATTCTTTCTCCTTCTTCAGAAATAACCAAGATCATGAATAATTAATCATTCTTATACATGCTTTATGCTTTTACTGCATATTCATGTATCTATAAACAGTATATGGCACTGTTTTGCAGGTTTTTAAACTATTTAAACGGTGTCACACTCTACATACCCTGCAATTAGCTTTTCTTCATTGTTGTTGAGATTTATCATTGTGCAGACACAAAGCTGTGATTCATCATTGTAATTGCTGTATAATATTCCCTTGTATGAATACACAGTGATATATGAATCTGATCTTCCATTAATGGCATTTAAATATTTCCAGCTGATTCAGTTTTTCACTACTAAAAGTAATGCTGCCACAAACATATATATCTTCAGGTACAAACAAAGAGTTTTCCTCTAAGGTATAGACTTGAGTCGATTTCCTGTGATGTAGGATTAAGAGCATTTCCAATCTTAATAGATAAAATCAAATTGCTCCCCAAAGTGGCTGTACCAATTTCTCCACTCTTTTCCAACATGTGGTATTGTTGGAGTTTTAGACTTCTGCCAACCTGATGAGTATGAAATATCAATAGTATCTCATTTGTATTATAAATTTCTCACTACCTTAATTTCTGGTGAGGCTGAGCACCTTTTTGTATGCTCATAAACCATTTGGATTTAAGAGATGTACAATTAACACATATTCACACGGAAGTATAAATCGCTAACATATCTCTACTTCTGAAAGTGATTTTTGATAGGGAGAAAGCCTGAGAGGGAAGAATAAGTGGGAAAACCTCTGTAGGGATGGGAGCAGATGGAGTGGGGAGAAGGTAGAGGTATCATTTGCCTTCCTCAAGGTCCTTTCAGGGCTGGTCCTGGCCAATTGTCACATCAGCTGTGTTCCCTTCCCCTAAGAGCTGGAATCCCTGGGAGAGGCTGAAGGAAAGTGGAAGTGGTAGTAAAATCTTCACTGAGGAAGGCCTTTTCTGGTCCTGAGTTTTTCAGGCTTCTTGGATTCAAGACTAGTTAAGCCAGTGGTTGTCAATGAGAGAAATACATCCCTACTAAGGTATGTTGTGGAAATTTGGGGGGATTTTTGATTATCACAATGATCAGGCGTTACTGGCATTAGGAGATTGGGACCAGGGGTGCTATACCTCCTTCCATGTATGAGACAGTACTACCCACCAAACAATTTCCATGAATGCTCCGCACAGCTTTCAAAAGCCCATTTATATGGGTGGAAACCCTGTTCTAATGATCAAGACTAGCACCTAACTCTTTTCCACATAATCACAAAGTGTATTGTGGGTTTACATGCATTTTTCCAGTAATGTAAACTACTATTTAAATTGAGAGAAGATTCTAACTTTCTTTTGCTCAGCATTGACAACTTCATTACGTTTTCTATTATAGTTAGGCCTATGCATTTTATATAGTTTTATGATAAACAGCTCTTCTTTTCTTTCCCCTTTATATGTGGACATTATAATTATTTAAAAATTTTGTGTGTAGAATGATCATATTACCTATGAATTTCATTTTGGTATAGAAAAAGGACATTACAAAATGTTTATTGGGAACCAGTGAACTAATAGTTCCTTGTTAAGGAAAGCTAGGTTAAGAGAGTAAAAAAAAAACCCTAACTTACCCCAAGATGCCACAGTTGGTAACTGAGAGACCTACAAGACCCTTATAGGATGAATCTAAAGTGCTTCCAAAACCAGGGGAAAAAAACATTGGTCCAAATCTTTAAATGGGAAATTCTATCATAGAGGACCTTATAACTAAAAAGGAGGCATAGATGAGGCCTGTCCTGGGGTAGACTCAAGGAAAATAATTTCAGAGGATCAACTTATAAATAGGTCTTAAAAGAACAATCTCATGCCACCAGGGCCTCTGCAGAAGGTTGTATAGCTGTGCCCTGGCTGAGGGGACAAATGGAGTTGAATTCCACCCTGCATTCTGCTCACCAAGATGTGTGCCCAAATGAAGGGTCTACCTTTTAAAATTTTGCACAAAGGAGGTTATTCACACACGGCCCCATGTGCAACCACCACCATCTCTGCTGGTTCACACTAAAAAATCGGCTAGTTTTCATCTTCAGATCCAAACCATCATTGCTAGCAATATATTCTTTATAACAATATTCCACTGATCTAGAACAAAAGCAATTTAAAAGCCTCAGGCTGTTTGTTATAATAGAATTTTCCTCATGTGAAAAAGTAAGCAGTGCTGTTGTATTATTAATGGAGTTTTATTGTTTTTTCCACCAAGTTGACAGTTTTAGGATCATGTTGGTACGACTTATTCTACTAAATGATTAGAATACTTCTGTCACATTTCTATCTTCCTTTTCTAAATTGGAAATATTTGTATTCTTGCTTCAAAGTCCAACATTTAATGAGATTTGAACTTGTTTGCTTTGTGTTGAATGGGATTAACCCACCCCTCCCCCGCCAGAGGCCACTCTCAAGTCTTTGTGTTGGGGAGGCCCTGGTTATGTGGGCAAATGGATGGTTATTCTCAGCAATAAAAATGAGCAAATAACATGAAAGCACCCATACCTCAAAAAGCAGAAGAGAGACCTCTGTTTGACCTTGAGGTCTGTGCGCTGAAGAGAAAAGTTCCTTAACAGACATAACAAGCTTCCAGCCAGAGAGAAAGAGAAGAAGATTGCTTACTTTCTGATTACTTTGTTTAAACCAACCTCCTTTCTAGTTTATAATCCTTTAGGGGAGCATATTAAGAAGGGGTGGTTTAAGGTCTGTTTAAAGTGGAGGAGAATCATGAAATAAACAATTAATATTTAGGAGAGGGACCCAGAACCCTGCATTTGTAGGATTTTTTCTTCCCCCATTTAATGAATAATAGCCTTGGGCTGTGGTCTCGGGCGTCCCATGTATTTATTTTGATTACTGTTGTCATATATTCACTGGTTACACTGTTTGCGTTATTTTGGACAATCCAAAAATTAGGAGAACTCATTAGAGTAAATAATGCGACCATTTCTGCTGGCATGAGTTGTGTATAGAACACAGGAGTGTCAATTCCAGTAACAGGGAAGCAAATTCAGTAGTCACATTTTATCCTGGCCAAGTGGTCTTGGAACTTTTGCCTTGGGTAATTTTTAAAAAATCAGTCCTATTCCTTGCCTTTCGGCCAAAGACTCCATTACATTGCAGCTTAACATTTGGTCTCTGTTGCTCCTACCCGGAGGCTGTTCTGCATTGTCCAGCTTCTAGGCTTCTGCTCAGGTCAGTGCCTCCTGCTGGGATGACCTCCCCAGGCTTTTGTGCCTATTGAATCCTTCTTATCCTCAAAGGGGAGTTCAAATCCCAGTTCTTCCAAGAAGCAAACTGCCTTCACACCTGTTATTCCTCCACCAAATTTCAGCAACTCATTGCTTGGCCCTTCCCAATATATGTTCCCGCGTGCTGCAGCTAAGGCCCGACACAGCCATAAATAAATAAATAAATAATAAATACATCTTAAAAAAAAAAAAACATTGTATCACCAGCAGTGCCTGACACAGTACATGATAAATTCTGAACAGCTATCTGCTAAAACTTGAAAATATTTTCCTTCTGACTCATAACAGTTTTCATTGTCATTAATATTACAATTTGTCTCTTTAAAATCATGCCCATTTGTCTTATGCTCCAGTTTCAAAATCTGGTATTGTTAAAGTTGGTACTGCATAAGAAGTTTTTTATGCTTACAGATGAAGTCACTTAAGAAATAGAAGAGATAGCAGGAAAAAAAGGGAGGAGGCCATTATTAGATAACAGAGAGAAGGAGGAAAGTTTACCCTATGGCACAGAGGAGCCCACGTAAAAGATGTCTTTCATGGGTTTAATTTCATCTGACTAATTTTGCTCCATTTCAAGCAAAGGAGAAACAAGGCATTTATATACCTGTACAGTTCTCTGTAGCCCTGCCTTCTTTCATGTACTTGACCTTCTGATAATGACCTACTTGAACCAGCATATGTGATCTATGATATGGACCCCAGTCACTTAGCAGGAAGTAGTGCTATAGAAGTTTTGAACCATGCTATCCAATGTATCGGTCAGAGCCTGGTCAAGAAGTCAAAGCCATTCCAGCTATTACAAGAAAGAAAAGATACTGTTTTTGAGAGTGTGGGATGATGATGACTTTTTCCCATCTTTCTACTGTCTTATGTCTTCCAAATTTTCCACAATGATCATGTACTACTTTCATAATCCGAGAAAGTAAAACAAATTATATTTTAAAGACGACGCTTATTCCAAAGACTTAAGACGATCTTCCCATATTCTTGGAAGAGAAACATATTAAGCCACTGTCAGTGATTAAAATAATCGTCCGGGGGGGGGGGGGCGGGGCAAAAAAAATAAATAATCATCATCAAACTCTTCCTAGGGATCTGTAAGTTGACCTTTGACAAATCACTTAACTTTCCTTTGCAGCCCTTTGGCTGTCTGAAACATTGTCACGCGTGTGCCTGTTCTTTCACGTAAATGTGGCTGGGATTAATGAGGTCACCGTTTCTAAATGTTCTTCAAGATCCTTCCATGGAAAAGCATTTTGCAGGAACAAATGATTATTGCCCTATTATTATTTCCTTGAACATCAATGGCTGCCAACCTTGAATAAAATTTTATTTAGAAACACTCTTCCCTGTGTCTTTCTCCTGAATATAATAATTGTTAGGAGTAAATGGAGGAAGAATTCTCTTCCAAAGCTATATAGAATACGTGACAAATCATAGCTTTGTCATTTTAAGGAAAAACGAGTTTAAACCCAAGTTTATGATTTTTCTTTCCATTTACCATGTCCATGCTCTCATCAAACTTATGTACCTTGGGGGCAAAATGAAATGGGAAGCTTAAAATTTTTTTGTGCTCTTGAATTTTAAATATGTAAAAAGCCAGAACTAGAAAAGGACCTTGAAAGTGTATCTGATTTTGCATTCTTCCTTCAGATAGATGAACAGGTAAACTATCAAAAACAAGTTTCAGTCCATTCCATTCATAGTCTCTAGGAATCAGGAAATACATTGCTATCCCAGAGAGTCTTCTCCAGAATTTAAAAGTGAATATTATATTCATATTTGACCAGAATATCTACATCTCCAGCCTCACAACTGCCCTAGAAAGCTCCCCTAGAAGAACACCAGTACATGGAATCTTTTATTAGAAGCCCAATTACACATAGTGAAATGGTAGGCATTGTGGAAGGAGAATTTCACAGGTCCCATCTCTGTCTTGCTACAATTTTTGATTGAACATGAACAGGCACACCTGCACACAAATGGTAGAGGTTTTTTTAAAAAATCAAATCAATAGCTAAGTGAACAAGGAGGTATTCATGTCTTACCTAAGGAGCCTTCCACTGGCCAGGTAATGGATTCTGTCCAGGAAATTCATTTACAGAGGAGAGCGACTTTCTGTAAAATAAGGGAATATTTTTTTCCAAATATTCTTCCAAAAGGGAAAAGGATTGATGAAAAATTGGGTTGAAATCCAATCTATTTGAAACCCATATATAAAATTTGGTCATTCATCCTCTTTATACCCCAATAATTATACCCATAATTATTATTCAAGCCCCTAGCAAACTCCTTGCTATAAATAACCACACGTATCCCCCAATGTGTTTGAGAAGCTTCTCCTTAGTCCACACGTCATGGCTCACCTTTCTCCTGGACCCAGCTCCTTCTGCTGACTGATATTGCTAACCATCTCCATCTAGGGGTTAGGGATTCCACTTTTAGTTGGAATTCTTTGTTCCAAGCCTGGCACCAGCTCTTTCCTAACTTCTCCCAGCAACGTTGAGACTAAGATGTAACATTAATAACACCTCCTGGAGGGAATTCCCTGGCGGTCCAGTGGCTAGGACCATTGCGCTTCCATTGCAGGGGGCACAGGTTCGATTCCTGGTTGGTGAACTAAGATCCTGCAAGCCACATGACACAGCCAATAAATAAATAAATGGTTAAAAAAAAAATAACACCTACTGGAGGTTGAGAATAATAGGCAGGTGTACTGCTCAAGAACAACTTATAATTACTCCCTAAGTCTAAGCAAGTCCATGGCCATTCTCCTGGCCTGCTCCAAGCAGCTCACCCTCTACCATGGAAGTGGCCAAGTCCTTTCTATGAAGAATGGTTGCTCCCACCATCAATCACCATGTAAATAGGTTCATTTTCAGTCAGAATATAAAAAATGGAAGAAGACCCTTAAATGAGAGAGAAAGAGGAAATTTCATTTTCCTTCTGGGGAACTAGAGACCAGTTTTTCCAGGACTTGGATATGTGGAAAGACCTAGAACGCCAGCTATCTTAATACCAACCTGAGGAGAGGCCAAGTCACAAATAAGTTCAGGGTCAAGAGAAATGCAGGGAAACAGAGCTAGATATACTGGATTGGATCAATCTTAAACCTGCCCTACCTCTGGAAGTTCAGTGATGAGAGCCAATACATTCCCTGACAATCCAAGTCAAACTGAATTAGGCTTATTTTTGTTATTGGAAAGAAAAGGCACTCTGCTATATTTCCATATTCCTAAATAAGCTTCTACTGCCATTTCTTGGTTTATCAATGTTTGACATTATCTATTTAACCTGTCCAATGATAGATGAAAAACTCAGCTCATTTTCCAACACCTCCTCTACCTCCCCTTTTAGTTGCTCTATACCTTTATAACTATAAATAACATCCTAACACCTTTAGTGTTTTTTGTTTTTTTTTTGCGGTACGCGGGCTTCTCACTGTTGAGGCCTCTCCCATTGCAGAGCACAGGCTCTGGACGCGCAGGCTCAGAGGCCCAGCCGCTCCACGGCATGTGGGATCCTCCCGGACTGGGGCACGAACCCGTGTCCCCCGCATCGGCAGGCAGACCCTCAACCACTGCGCCACCAGGGAAGCCCCCACCTTTAGTTTTTGTTTCGTCAACTATCTTTTTATAGAATTAAGATATTAGCTCCCCAACAAATCCACTCAGTAATTCTACACTTCACTTTGTATCTTCTGTCATCCATACTTGATTTTTGCATTATCAAGTTTATAACTAGGTCTCCTAAGCTTTACCGATAGGTTGGTTATGAACAACTAAAAATCAATTAAAACTCTTTGCTCTTGGCAATAAATGCATTATAATTACAGAGTCAGATACTGTTCAATAGTAGCATTGTCTATCTCCTCTCATTTTAACTCCTGGAAGTCTCTAAAAACTTGACCTGCTGTATAGCTGAGAAATACATATATATATATATATTTGGGGAGAGACAGAGACAAAGACAGACAGACAGACAGACATTCAGATAGAGATGATGTGACTGTAAAAGAGCAAGTATATGGTCTGCTTGGGAGTTATATTCTATACATAAGTGAGAAAAATTTTACTATGGCATGAATATTTGGGGCATAAAATCCTTGTGAAAATGAAATACTCACATATGTAACATATATATATATATATACATCATTCACACACACCTGTGTAGAGTGAGAGAAAGAGGGCCAAAAAAACCCACCTCTTTACATTATTGTGACTGTGAAAATATTGCTCATTACAGAAGCAGTCACCATCAGATTTCCTTTCTTACTGCTTTTTGTTTTCCCTGGAGTTTCTATCTGCATTTATTTTATCCTATACTATTTATAATTTTTTATGAATAATGTAAGAAAATTTTCCACATCACTATTTATAGTTTTCCAATAGTTACCTTTTTCAAAACTTTCTCTATGCATTTGTGTGTGTGTGTGTACGTGTGTGTGTGTGTGTAAAGAGAGTTTTATTTTGTAGGTTTGTTTTATGTTTTATTACACTGTACACGTGGTTCTTTGACTTGTTTTTGTTTTGTTTTTTTTTTGGCCTTGTGGCATGTGGGATCTTAGTTCCCCCACCAGGGATTGAACCCCGTGCCCCCTGTATTGGGAGAGTGGAGTCTTAACCACTGGACCACCAGGGAAGTCCCTTGATTTTGCTTTTTTAACTTCTTTTAATTCTCACCTAAGAACTGGTATGGTTGTATCAGAGTTTTATTTGTTTGTTTGTTTTATTTTTCGAAAATTGTTAGACCGCAGTTGTACAAATAGATTGACATGATTTGATTATTCATACACCTTAGTTACAGCCAATTTGGGTTTTTATTCCTTTACCCCCACTCTTCTCCCTTCACCATAGACATCTACTCTCAGATATTTAATGTGTGTCTTTCTAATCCACCTGCCATATTTTTCTTTGATAACATACAGCATTATTTTGTGAGCTTAGAAAAGACAGTCTCTTCAATAAGTGGTGCTGGGAAAACTGGACAGCTACATGTAAAAGAATGAAATTAGAACACTCCCTAACACCATATACAAAAATAAACTCAAAATGGATTAGAGACCTAAATGTTAAGACCGCACACTATAAAACTCTTAGAGGAAAACATAGGAAGAACACTCTTTGACATAAATCACAGCAAGATCTTTTTTGATCCACCTCTTAGAGTAATGGAAATAAAAACAAAAATAAACAAATGGGACCTAATAAAACTTAAAAGCTTTTGCACAGCAAAGGAAACTATAAACAAGACAAAAAGACAACCCTCAGAATGGGAGAAAATATTTGCAAATGAAGCAACGGATTAATCTCTAAATTATACAAGCAGTTCATGGAGCTCAATATCAAAAAACAAACAACCCAATCAAAAAATGGGTGGAAGACCTAAATAGACATTTCTCCAAAGATGACATACAGATGGCCAAGCACGTGAAAAGCTGCTCAACATCACTAATTATTAGAGAAATGCAAATCAAAACTACAATGAGGTATCACCTCACACCAGTTAGAATGGGCATCATCAGAAAATCTACAAACAATAAATGCTGGACAGAGTGTGGAGAAAAGGGAACCCTCTTGCACTGTTGCTGGGAATGTAAATTGATACAGCCACTATGGAGAACAGTATGGAGGTTCCTTAAAAAGCTAAAAATAGAATTACCATATGATCCAGCAATCGCACTGCTGGGCATATACCCAGAGAAAACCATAATTCAAAAAGACACATGCACCCCAATGTTCATTGTAGCCCTATTTACAATTGCCAGGTCATGGAAGCAACCTAAATGCCCATCGACAGATGAATGGATAAAGAAGATGTGGTACATATATATAATGGAATATTACTCAGCCATAAAAAGGAACAAAATTGAGTCATTTGTTGAGACGTGGGTAGATCTAAAGACTGTCATACAGAGTGAAGTAAGTCAGAAAGAGAAAAACAAATATCGTATATTAACGCATGTATGTGGAAATTAGAAAAATGGTACAGATGAAACAGTTTGAAGGGCAGAAGTTGAGACACAGATGTAGAGAACAAACGTATGGATACCAAGGGGGGAAAACCGCGGTGGGGTGGGGATGGTGGTGTGCTGAATTGGGCGATTGGGATTGACATGTATACACTGAAATGTATAAAATTGATGACTAATAACCTGCAGTATAAAAAAACAAACAAAAAAGCAACTAGTACTAAACTTCCTTTGGGTTATTTGTATGGAAATATGTTAATATAAATGTTTCAGACACTACATGAAATTTCTAAAAATCTTATATGTTCTGGTATAATGTTATAAGTCATAATTCTAGTTATTACTTTAAAATGTATAACTCAGAAATAACTAAATTTCCTTGTCAATTGCATCATTATGAACTTTCCTCAGATCTTTAACCGTGGTCATTTTTAAGTCCTTGTCATTTACAGACAGTTCTGGGTGGACTCTGATGCTTTCGCAAAAATGTTCCTATAAAAGGGTTTCATCTTCAAGGAATTCACGGAAAAGACTCTGACAAGTACAGGTTTCTGGTAACTGACTAAACTGCTGAACTGAACTAACTAGACCACACTTTATCCATTCCTTCATCATTATCATTTGTTCTTTTTGACTATTTGCTATCACAAATAGTGATGCAATAAACATTATTGCACATGTCTCCTTGTGCACATGTACAATCCATAGATCATTTAACAAATTAAAAAAATTTATTATTATAGAATAATAATGTCTTAAATTTTTATTATTATAGAATCTCTTTGTCATAAGTGCATATATTCTTACAGTGTATGCTGTGTAAGTAGCATGCTTACATAAAAGGGTACGCATTTTTAGAATTTTGATATCATTAAATTATCTTTAAAAAGATTATATCAATTTAGATTCCCAACTGAAATTAGGAAATCAATTTTCTGCCTATTTGCCTTCACTTGATATAACCAGTATGAAATTCTTGACTACATCATAGTTAACAAATAGTTTCTCATTGTTAAGATTTGCATGTCCCTGATTAACTGTAAAAGGGACATATCTTTTAATATCTTTATTGGGTTTTTGTTTACTTCTTTATAGCCATTGACAATTTTTCTACTGAACTGCTTTTTTTTCTTGTTGACTGTCT